TTTACAAGAATTCATGTGATTTTTTAAAAACGTTGTGATGCGTTTATCCCCTCCAGTTACTGTTCACATGCAAGATTGACACTAATACCCTCATTTACATGGAGATTGAACAACTTTATTCGCTTAATACGATTTTTTTATAGTTTTACGAAACTATGTTTTCAAGATGGCGACGAGAGGCTAAAAATTGTTCATATTTTACTTAAAATAGCTCAAAAGTGGCACTTATCTGAAGTTCAAAAGGCATGTAATTTGAAAGTATACCTACCAAAGTTAAGTAATCAAGAATAAAACTCGCCTGCAAGCAATTTTCTGAAAAGTTATAAATCTCCAAATTGGGTCTATTTTTAGCTGTTTGTTTACATTCGCGTGTTCGCTGATCAGCGACACTAGTAATTGAAGAGTTAAAATAGGCTGATTTATTACCCATGAGTAAACCTTTTTAGCTTGTTCAAAAGAATATATACAATTTTGTGAAAATATAATTACAATATATACAATTAAGCGATCGTGTACAGAACATTCTTGAATTCGAATTACTTTACATTTATACTTAACTTTATACACTTGCACTAATTATACACTTTCAATATACACATACAGTAGTACAGTTACAACGATTCTGCTGATGTCTACGATCCTGATATCTTTTAATGTTATTAAATAATATGTTGGTAATATAATAAGAACTTCGTCAATACATTGACACAATACCATAATCTCCTGATTACGACCTTGATCCAGGGGCGCCGGAAGCAATGTGAAGCGGCGGGGCAGCCATTTCAAAAGGGCACTTGCTTCTAAGCAATCATTTTTCTGGGCGGCAATATTTGTTAAAACTTTATTGTATGGATACTCGATAACTTGTGGCTATTGTGGGTCGGCAAACTTCGACATTAATTTTGAACAATTTTATTCGTTGCACCATGTTAAGGACGCTGATAAAATCAGTAAACAGACGTATATTGCCTGGTTTAGCATTAATCAGGGGCCGCGGAACCGGGGACAATGGGGCATGTGCCTCACCACATTTTAAAAATGAAAAAATGCCTTTTTGGGGGGGCTAGAAAGGAAATGCCCTTTTTGTAGTAGTAAAAACTCTGTAAAGGCCATTTCCGACTTTATAGGAACTCCATATTTTCAAAAATCGTTTGATTTTGATCACAATTATACAAAAGTAATTCCGCGGCCTCACGCATTAATTTTACTACAACTGGTTAAATTTAAGCAAAGATTGCTTAAAATAGTTATAAATTCCAATTCAGTTGCCCCCGTGGCTCCGGCGCCCCTGCCTTGATCTGCCGCTAAGTTCACTCCAATAATCGGTGAATTATTCATACTTTAACACTTATATACTATCTATAAGTGGCTCTGGTCCACAAAACACACTGTTTCCCTCGATCTCAGTAAATATAAAGTGATAATACATAAGTTTAATGTTTAGTTACTTTTGTTCTATTCAGTCTATGCTTCTGTAAACTAGAACAATAGTAACTAGGCATGTGAGTTATCCAAAGCTGTGAATTGGGTGGCAACGATGTAAACAGCGTTAGCCAAATTTGTCTATTGGCTTCACTTTTTATAGAGTCTATCCACTGATCTCATATTGACAGGATAGACCCAATTGAAAAATGAAACTGAACTAATAACAGACTGGATAGTCATGTTTGTCAGCTATTCCTGGGTATGTAAAAGTGCCCTGCTCTGGCAAGTATAAGTTCACTCTCGTTGATGGTAAGCCTCGTGAGGTGACAACTGCTGGGGTGAGTACAAATGTCTGCATTACACTCCCCCAATTTGTGCAACTTTCTGTATTCCCCGGCTTTCTCCACATGCAAAATTCCCCAGGCCAGCAAAAGAAAAGTTCTTTTCCATGACTCAAGCATGCACAAAGTAAAAATAAGAGCTGCTATCAAAAATAACTGGCAAGCTAGTGTTGCAGTTCAGCATGAGCTCCACCTTTGAATTTACTATATGAGTAAATTCTTAAACACGTCCGAAATTATTATTATGATAAATTCGCAGCACATTTTGAATTTATGATAATAATAAATTCGCGGCACTAACCCCTAACCACTAATCCCCTAAATCCTAACCAGTAATCTCTAACTCCTAACCCTAACTTTTTTAACCGTAATTTTTTTAACCTTTTTAAAAATCTAACATTTTAAACTTTTTTGCTTTTTAAAACTCTTTTAAAACTTTTTTAAAACTATTTTTTTGAAAAACTCTGTTTCTTACTGCAGTATTTCTGTTATTGCAGCGGTTAACAAATTATATGGAAATACGACGATATAAGTTAAATTTCAAAATTCTTATGTGTTCATATGCATTGAATCAAACGAAAAATGCAACCTTTGTTACAATTATTTAAAATATTACAAAAATAAAAAACAACTAAATTTTATCGCCATATTTCTCCATAATTCGGCAACCGCTACAATAATGCAAAAGTCAAAACAAAATAGTAAATGACAACAGACTACAAAAGCGGAAGTGGGAAGGTTGTAGTATTTTGACTGAAATTATGTACAAAAATATGTTGCATCCATGCTGCAAGAATTAATGTCCGATCCGACCTTTCCGGCAAAATTTCCATTTACAGGGACAGAAAAAGATTACAAGACAATTTGAATAAAAAAGTTAAAGCACCGAACACTTTTTATGTACAGCCAGAGATACTGTCAGCTTTGAAATTTGCTACAACCACAGAAAGTACTGCCCGATTATACCTTAAAAAGATATTTAACAATTGTGAAATTATTCATGCGAATAAGCCAATAATGGTTAAGGTTGTATTTTTAATGTTTTTATGTTGTGTATTAGAAGCTGGATAATAAACCAGCTTATTTAACTTTTTAATTATTACTAGTGTCGCTGATCAGCGAACACGCGAATGTAAACAAACAGCTAAAAATAGACCCAATTCGGAGATTCATAACTTTTCAGAAAATTGCTTGCAGACGAGTTTTATTCCTGATTACTTAACTTTAGTAGGTATACTTTCAAATTACATGCCTTTTGAACCTCAGATAGGTGCCACTTTTGAGCTATTTTAAGTAAAATATGAGCAATTTTCAGCCTCTCGTCGCCATCTTGAAAACATAGTTTCGTAAAACTATAAAAAAATCGTATTAAGCAAATAAAGTTATTCAATCTCTATGTAAACGAGAGTATTAGTGTTAATCTTGCATATGAACAGTAACTGGAGAGGATAAACGCATCACAACGTTTTTAAAAATCAGATGAATTCTTGTAAAATTTCCCTTCATTTCCGGTCTGAAAATATTCTCGCAAGGTCAAATTTCAACATGGCTATAACTCCTATAAAACAGAAAGTTGAAACGTTCTGAAAGAAGCTCGATTAATATTGACTAAAGTCTAGCTCATATGCAAAATATGAGCTAAATCTATTTTTCCTTCCCCAAACCAGCGGGTGGATTTTACTGAGAGGCCCTCTTAAGTGGTCACGCAAAGTCCAAACCGGTTTAATTGCAACATGGATGTTATGCCTTTCTAAAACTCTTTTTAGTCTTTCCGTTGTACCTTGAACAAAAGAAAGGACTGCAAGTCCCTTAACATGATGTTTTCACTACTGATCTCTTGTGCTGAACAGGTTGACGGATATTGTCTGTCCGAAAAAATGGAAAATATCTGTCCGAATGTATTGCCTTCCTACAAACAGCCGTTGTTATTGATCCGTCCGGATCGACATCATTGAGCGTGTCCGAAAATGGTCAATCCGTGTCCTTATAGCGTTCGTTGGTAAACTGAATATTGTTGTTCTGTGCGTTTAAATGATTGTGGAAACCAGCAATGTTTGATAAATTTATAGCCGCAATTGTATCATCAACAAATCTGTGATGCACTATCGGACATTACTTTCCAGATCTTCCATCACCAGATTGGCCCCTATGAGTTATACATGAGATCCCATTAACTTCGTTCCGTGGATCTGTTTATAAAAGCAGCCCCGGAATTGAAATTCGGTTGAATCTACACAAAATTAAAAGCTAACAAGCCAACAATGTCTTGAGGCGTGAGCATCGTCCTCTCTTTCAGGGCAGAGTCCACCTCACGTCTTCTTTTAGCAACATCAAAGGCGTTTCTGGTAGAGACCTGGGAGGGATGTTGGTAGGGCTTCTAGTGGCAATGCTGTGTGATATTAAGAAATGTCTCAAACAAAAGAAGATTGCCAACGTCGTGAATGTCCCAAAGGAAAAGGATATCAAGGGCCTGGAAGTCCTTACTTTTGTTCAAGGTACAACGGACAGAATAAAATAATTTTAGAAAGGCATAACATCCATGTTGTAATTAAACCGTTTCGACGATGCGTGGCCACTTAAGCAAGCCTAAAGATCGGTTGCCCATTTCAGATCAAACCAGAGTGGTGTATTCGATTCCGTGTTGATTTGTGTCAAGACTGTGACGTAAAATATGTTGGGAAGACCGACCGTTGGGAACAACAAAAAAAGAACACTATTGAAATGTGAGAAATGTTAAAGTGGAAAAGTCAGCGTTGGTAGATCATGTAATTACAAATGATCATCGTGTTGCGTGGGATTACACTAAGGTCATATGTAAGGCATGGTCATCCGTACATGTCCAATACTGTCGCATGCATACGGATGGACAAAGTTATTTACCATGCGTAAGCTGTATATTCTTGTTTCGTGACTTCCCTTACATCACGTGGTCTGATCTAAATAATTGCATCATGCTGCGCATCCTGCATCTACCCCACGAAAGACCTTGTCATCCGTACAATTTGTACGGATGGTATATACGGAGGGGAAATCTTCGATCCGTTTGAGCGAGCACAAAACTGTTTTATAATGTCGTTGCTTCGTTCTTAAGAAACGACACTATATATCAATATAATATGTTGTCGGTAATGGCTAATACTGCTTACATCATGCTAATCGTTCGCGACTTATTTCAGCCGCGGCTTATTCTCGCTCGTATAATTGACCTTTTTAATGGCTAATAATTATATCAATATAATAATTATGTTGTTGCTTCGTTCTTAAGAAACGACGCAATATATCATTCAATATAATATGTTGTTCCTTGCTCGGGGGCTTGCAGTATTTTCGCTCGTATAAATTGCCCTATTAAATGCTAATTACTGCCGAGCGCCAGCGAGGCAGCATTCTATTCTTGACATGCCTATACATTAGTACCAGTCCCTTTGCCAGAGCTATATAAAGCCAGCACGAATTTCGATTTGCAACTCGATTCGGATGGATGCACGGATGTTAGCTTAGGATAGGATAGGATAAAACTTTATTTGACTATTCTGGCCACTTCAACCATACCTGCTTTCCAAGTGGGGCGTAGATAAATGTTACAAAAATATGTAAAATACAAAATCACTAAGAATATTAAGAACTACGAATACAAATACATATTACAAAACAAATGGTATACAAAACTCAAATAGCTAATTCGTCAGACTAACAGAGGAAATATTTCTATTGAAAGAATTTAAAGATTCGCTGTTTCTTACTTGTTCAGGAATGCTATTCCAGATTTTAACCCCACTATATCGAAAACATTTTCTGCCATACTCAGTATTTGGTCGTGGCAGAAAGAGAGACGAATTTGAACCTCGTAAATTATAACTGTGGATATA